TCCTCATTAAGTTGCATTTTTAAATATTTTGGCAAATGGCGTAATTTTAAATTTACTTAATTAAATTTAAACTTTTTAAAAAGATAGCTCCAGTAAGTATTCAGTCATGCTTGACAGGAGACTTTTTAGTTTATAATAGCTTATTTTTTAAAGAAAATTTAATATAAATTCCAGATAAATGATATCCTAGAAAGAAAGAAATAAGAAAAGAAAATGCATCTATAAACAAAAATGACTAATGGCAAATGCTATGATATACGGAATGGTACCAAACATGGTTACTAGGGCGTAATTTTTATAAATTTTAATTGTTTTTGATAAAATTAGTAACAAATAACGTTACGCTAATTGCAACTGTTTGCCAATGTGAGCTTCTTGTAAATGTCTTATATAGTGTTACATGTAACATACAAAATTCATATATTACAAGAATGCTATTATTCCTCAACAACAATCAAATGAACAAAATGTTGAAACAAAAGTAATGAACATGAAGTACTAAAATTTAAAATTATCACGTTGAAAAATCACTGGTAAGATCATTATCATCAGAATCTTTTTCACAAGAATGTTTTTGTATGGTTGAAGCAGATGATGGTTTCCAAGTTTAAAGTCAAGCTTATAGTTGAGAGCAAAGAAATATGTTTAACTGTCGACAATGAAAAGTACTGTATTTAAAACTTATAAATGGTAAGTAAAAACATCATTATTAAAATATGTGTTAAACTGAAATGAACTAATAAGTATTTAGAAACAATTTCGCGAGATTGTACGACAAGAATGCATGGCGTGCACTCTCCCATTTTGCCGATTTGCTAGTAAATTTATTCACAGTGTAAATACGATTAGATCCTGCTTGCCAACTAAAACACGTGACAGAAGCTATCTGTATCACGTGACAAAGATTGATCCGATCTTACAGATCAATCCATCTGAAACGAAAAATATATGCACCACTAGCGATTTTAGGACGTCACGTGGCAAATTCGAATAGAAAACTAGGAAGCGACGTTGAGAACCAAAGGCAATTTGTTGCAATTCCGCTCAGCGTTTACAGATGGGGAATTTTTTTTATCGACCGACAAAAATTTGGGGAATTTTTTGGGATGACTTTTTTCACTTTGATTTTTTTCAGTGCACTAAAGCAAAAATTTTGACGTAACAGAACCTGTAAAATACTGTAATCACACAATTTATACTGTTAATTTAAATGTGCGAAATATGACACACGATAGGGGCGCCTCTAGTGACCGTTTTGCATAACGTTACACGGACGCACGTCGGACGGACGGACACGCGTTCAATGGGTTTTATAAATATAAATATATATAGATATGCTTCAAATGCTACCACTCGCATGCGATTCATATTGATCAACGTGAGTGTGGTCATGTGCAGAAGGGCTAAAGAGTGTTAGAGAGTATGCCGTACGAGTCGAAGTTTGTTCGGCGGCTCTATCTCATAAACTCATAAGTTATAAGGCTGCTTGAGATGAGGTGAAATTGGAGTTTATGTCCGAAGAGCCGCAAACGTCTATGCAAAGAGCCGCTCCTGTCCTAGTCGACTATGCTAATACTAATCGCGTCCATAATGAACAGTTGTTTTTTCATTTTTGGCTTTTTCCTCCCTATGGACATTTATTTTTTTATACTCAAAGTGGGATGGACGGGCAAAGTGGGTAATGAACTGGTGAGATATGTTATCCCTCACCAGTTCATTACCCTCTTTGTTCACATCTGACATATCTGGGATAGACCACTTATGAAAAGTTCCTGGGGTTTATTGCCCGCACGGATTCGATCCCGGGCACTAGAGTGGTAGGATTATAATATAACCGCCTAGACTAACCTGCCGTTACGTCATTGTAATGGCGTGTGTCAGTAGTGTTAATCTGTAATTAAAAGTAATGGCTTTGTTCTACGCTAAAATATAAACGTAGCATGAGCATGGTTATATAGTGTGGTAATAAGCACGTGGTGAGGGTTGATTTCACAAAGAAACGGGTATATAAAACAAATAAGACGTGCTTTATTATTTTCTGTGAACATATACAGGAAAGGTTCTTGTTGATTCCGATCTCCTGAGTCCTTACATCAAACAAACGAACAAACAACACCTTTTTTCGATTCACAGTCGAGCAAGACTTTCGCGATACAAAGAGATACTTAACTCCTAACTTAAACCTACTTATATCTAAAAAGAAAAGGAAAAAAGAAAAGAAAGTTAGATTAGAAGAGAGAAACGGAAATATATTTCAAGATGGAACGGGTACTCGAGTTGACGATTGGGGTGGCGGCTGCTGGATGACTTCGTCTTGGGAATTTTCCTTTTGGGGACAGATCGCATGCGATAATCAAATAAAAATGTCTTTTATCTTTTGGCTGGCCAATGTCCTTATCAACGCTACTTCTTCCTTACGTGCTCTTCGTGCCTCTTTCAGCCGAAGCAACACCGATCTGGAGACCTCTCTCTGACGGTCTTCCCTCTTCTAGGTCCGAAGCCAGAAGTACTCTCTTAGTCTCTCACTTGCCCTCTGGGCTATATCTAATCCTTTGTCTCCTAATTAGGTCATCGACCACTCACACCTGGACGAAAGTTCCAGAAAGTATAGACAAAGGAACACAGAACAAAGAAAGAAGGAAAGATAGAAAATCATATATATACATATATATAAAAATGTAACAAAAATATATTGGTGTACCACCACAATAGTAATAGTAAATACACTACACTCCTCAAAACTGAAATCGCAACACCATGAAGGAATGTGAGTAGCCGCAGGCAATTTGTAGGGCCGATAGAGACGACAGAGGCAAATTATTAAAAGAACAAACAAACATGGCTCCCGCAGGCAGCTATACAGGCCGTTATACTGCGAGGCAAACTACCAATGAGTCGATATAAACTCTTTCCGTCCAGTGAGCACTAAGAAGATACTTTTAGCAAACCCATTATGGGTTGGGACAGGCAGGGCCGTGCCGTGCTATGATACAAAGAGGCGGCACCGTAAGGGGACGACATAAGCAGCATTTAATTAAGGGCGGCATTTCGAAGACTTGCATCATACTGAGAAACTCTACAGCACGTCTGGGAACAGGTCCACAATAAAATGGTCGGGTGGTGAGGGACAGAGCCCGAGCCATTCCTGAAATGTTTCTGGGTTTTTACACCCATCCGGATTCAACGGTTAAAAAAAACCTCCATAGCGGCAGGCTGCCACATTAACCGCTCGGCCATCCGACCGTCAACAAGAGAGGGAATGATAAAAAAAAATTATTTAATATTATTTTAGAATTCTAGCTCTTACAAGTTAATACAATTTAAAAAAATAATTAAATATAAGCATTTGTAACGATCGAAATTTCGTAATATTTATACTATTAAAAATCGTTCGGTTTTTAATAAAAACATTTATGTATATTAAATATTATTAATAACAATTAAATAATATTCTCGTCGAAAAATGTTAATAAATAAATAAATAAATATGACAGAATTGAGAAAGGTTACAGGCGGCGTTAAAAAGGTTATAGAGGTGAACGCCATCTAGTGCGCATAGTTAAGTGACTACGTCATCGGGAAATTGTGCGTTGTCGTCAGAAGGTTCTTTCGAAGTCTTCTCTTTGTAAGAAAGAAAAAGTAGATTGGATTATTCTAACGAAGTATTCTCCACTCATAGAGAAGCTTTCAAGATCTGCTGTATGTCTACCAGCATTCAAAATCTAAATACTTTTGGTAAGAATTAAGATTTAAAAGCAAAATTCTTAGTTAGATCGTGTAGAAAGCTTAAGCCTTATTTTAGGCCTAATAGAACAACTGATTAGATTAAAGCAGTGACGTTAGTTTATGTCGAGATGTTTGATTGGCTCTGATTAACTAGTGTAGTAACCGCTAAACCAATAATAATTTGCGAGATAAAATTTATTTTTATTTTTTTGTTTTAGGCCGTATTCGAGGTTACGGTATTTTTAAAATTGCGTCGTTTGAATGAAACCTCATTTCAGAATAAATGACTCGAATCATATTAAAATAAAATCGAATGGTTTTGAATTAATGTTTTCGTTGATTTAAATTGTAACAAAGGCCGGACTATTGTAATAAAATAATACGTCACAATATACTATGATATGACGTATTTTTTTAAAAACTCTCCAGTGTTACGTAGTAACTTTTTTTTTTATTGTCACGGATTTGTACTCTACAATACATCTTATAGTGTGACGTATTATTTAATTTAATATTTACAGAGTATTATTGTTACGTATTTTATTCATTTGATTTGAATTGGGATTTTTTTTAAAATAAAATAAAGTCAGAAGTACATAAATTGTGACGAACACAAGGACACAGTGTACTGGTAGATTTGACCTGTGTTGAAAGGGTGCAGAGAATATTTCAAAAAGATTTATGTTTGAGTAATGAAGTGAGAAAATGTTGAATAATTTAAGAGAACTTCCTTTGTTTCGGGTATTCTGAAATCATTTTCATAAAATGTATGATCACAGTTCAAAGATATTGAATTATGATTCTTCCCTATGATTTAATCTAATGTTTTTTTTCTATAGAATACAAAAAATGCTTAAATTTGTTTCAAAATACATGTAAAAGTTTTTACTATATTTGTAGTAGAGTTGAATTTGTACAAAACTTTACAGTTCTATTGTCCATATTCAAAGTACAGAGAGTCAATCAGAAGCTAAATAAATAAACATTCAAACTTAATTACCATTTGTCTAATTCTATTACTTTGTTGAGAACATAAATACAACAGATTGTTTAAAAGCTTACTCATCTGTTTTATAATTTTTTAAAATGAGATAGAATTGAAATTTTTTTTCAAAATTTCAATTGCTTCTATGAAAATTGTATAAATTTTAACTGTGTTTAATTTTTAAGAATTTGACTTCAAGGTAAGATAAATTCTACTTCAAGGTATTCTGTTGGCTCCTGTTACTGTTGGTACTTCTACATTTTAGGGAAAAAAGTATGTAGTTTACTAAATTAGAGGTTGCGAAATGTAATTGTTATTGTGTAAGCTTTAGGTGTATTAAGAAATGTAAAATACCTTGAAAAGATATTAGTTTTAAGTCAAATGACAATTGATTTGATATTTAGTTTGAATACATTTTATAAAATGTGCATGTATAGTAGTTTCTGTAAAAAGACTTAGTTAAAATATGCTCTACTTTAAGAATAATAACATTTCGTTACACGACATTAAGCTTGCTTTCACTGTCAGTTTGAGATTTTGAAAGAGGGTCACTCTTTCTTTTACTATGAAATTCAGCTGATATTTTTTGAAAGTGAGTGAGTCATAGCGTGTAATATTAAAATATTGGTTTCTAATCTCAGTTTCTGAGTGTGGAGATCAATGACACTACTTTGAACTTAGTGTTTCAGTGAAAAGGCAATAACTAAGGTTTTTTCTTTTAATTTTCAGACCCCTTTGCTGATGCTAACAGGGGTGATGAACAGGGAGTCCAGGACGGGCTGATTCACATCAGAATTCAGCAACGCAACGGACGGAAGACCCTTACAACAGTTCAAGGAATTTCTGACGATTACGACAAGAAAAAAATTGTTAAAGCATGTAAGAAGGTACGTGTTTTCATTAGTCGTTACGAAGCATTTTGCTAACACAAGTAAATCTTTTACTACAATTCCTTTCTTTCTTTATAGGAGTTTGCCTGCAATGGCACTGTAGTAGAGCATCCAGAATATGGTGAAGTGATCCAACTGCAAGGAGACCAGAGAAATAACATCTGCCAGTTTTTAACCAAAATTGGAATCGCAAAGCCAGAACAGCTTAAAGTTCATGGTTTCTAATGCTAATGATTTTAACGTTAAAATTTTTAGATTGTCTAATATTGCAGTACTGTAAAGTCATTTGGGTCAAAAGGAAAGAAATATAAAATTGTTGAAACGTACATTTAATCAAAGAAATGAGTTTTCAGTAAAAAAAAAAAAAAAATATCCTTCTGTTTTTATATAATGTTCTAATTTTTTGCAAGTGTTTTTGTAAATTCTGCCGATAAAAACATAATGATTAGCGTTTCCAGCAGGTGTTTAACTATATGTATCGTGCGGTGTTGCTTTTTCCATTAAAACTAGAACAAAATCTATAATCTTTTACGTTTTGTATCGTGTCCTTGAATGTTTTGTATATATTTTTGGTATTATGGAAAATTAAAATCAAACATGCCAATGAAATCTGTGTGTTCAGTTCTCTTGCGTACCGATGCATCTGCAGTCGAGGAATTGGCAGTGTTTAAAGGCCATAAATTCTGGTCTCAAATGGTTTTTACACATCAAGCATATGGAATTACTTAACACATTAATCTCTTAATTACATGAGTATTTTAACTTTGTATACTAGAACCAGGTTTTGCTTTGATGTGTTCATAAGTTATTTGCATAATTATGAAATTGACAAAATATATAGACTTGTATGTTATCATTTAATTTAAACTTGTAAAAATAATAAATTGCACATCAGTTCCAAAATTGATGTTTGTCTTCAAGACTAGTTTTGGGATACAATAGTGATTGTGAACTACATGCTTGTGCAATATTCCACATTTCACAATATTTAATTTTTTGGGACATGCTTAGAATCTTCATAACAAATCATTTACCTAATTTCTTTGTAGACAACTAATTAATGAAGAAATGATCTGATATTTTACACAGAGCAGCCGTTCCGACAGACTTAAGTATGGTTTGCAAGCATTTGGTTAGGTGGCCAACAGACCACCTGGCAATTTTTCAAAATACAATTCTATGCAGTGTACTAGAGAGAACATTTGCATTGTCACCAGAAAAGAAAATGCTTTGGTGTGTGATAACTGGATTGGAGGCTTGGATGACCAGCTAAGTGGCCTATGGATCCGTAACTTTGAGAACCATTTGATTAGACAACATAAGTACGATAAAACCTGTTCAGAACAAACCTGCCTAACTGGAAAAATTCTTTGGAATGCAAAGATTTTCGGCATTAAACCTGTTCATAAAATATTTGGTACTGCGCAGTCTTCTACACAGGTTTTATCGTACTCTCGAAATATGTTTTTCTTGCCGTATACAATACTCATTGAGGAGACTTGTCCATAAATTCTGATTAATCTTAAAATATTCCATTTTAGATAGTTCTGGAAACAACTTGAACAAAGTGCATCCGACATGTAAATATTGCCTGCAAGTTTCTAGATCTTAATATATCAAATGCCGTTATATAAATTTATGCAAGAATTTTCTTCACTTTTGTCGAGAATGTAATCTTTAAATAAAAAAAGTCCACACATGGGAAATTGTTATGGACTGTAAGTATAAAACAATTGTTTTCTCCATATCACCTATTCAAATTAATATTTGAATGAATGGTACCGTACCTTAAATTAAATCTTTATAAAGTTCACTTAATTTGGTAAAAACTAACGTTTATTGTATAGCTGTTGTAATAAATTATACTTTAATCTGCAACTGACTACTAGTATTTGACACTTTGCTTATTATGAATGAGCTCCATAAGAGTGCAAATATGGGTATTTGCAATGGGAAGACTTTTTTTTGTTTTTAGAGCAGCAGCATTCTACAGATCACAATCCTTATTTTGTCTTTGCCACATCACTTTATCAGTCGGCATTATCTTTCTCAAGGAATTCTTTCTGCCATTTTTCAAATCACAGGATGACCAGTCCCAATTGGTAAGTTTTGACAGTCGGTAAACATTACTCCGAGGAACCTTTCCGTTAGATTGTTGACCTTTCCCATAGAACTTGTACCAACAAAAATGATACTGGAATTGATGCTCTTGTGACTTAATTAAGCTGCAAATTTTGGTGTAGCGAGGAAAGCTATGGATGCAAAACCATCACCATTTCTCAATTTGATTATCTAAGAGCAGTCCCAAATTTTCAAAGGTCTTGAGAATTTTGTAGATATAATGACCCCCGTGTTGTTTCCTACTTCTAATTGATGAATTACAAGCAAAATTTGCCATTAAGGAAAAATTATAATAATAATGCTGACAAAACAAGCATAATTTAAAAATGCAATTGGATGAATTGAGCTGAAAGATAGACTTTATTTTATTTTTTAGCAATTAAAAAAACCATGTGAAAATAAGGCATTACAATGCCGACCTAAAAGAATAGTTTTTTTTTTTTTTGAGAGATTTAAAAAACAAGCCCATAAAATGCCAACAGCATTTAAAATATAATTTATAAATGAAAGTTTGATTCATTGTTTTGAATAAATAATTATAAATAATCATTTTTTTAATGAAATAAAAATACAAGATCTTTGTGTTTTGGATTTAGGATGCAATTTACAATTCCATTTATTGAACATATTTATAAAGAATATCTTCCATTCACTGTAGATGGAAATAACAGCTTAATTAAGATATGTTTTTAGAACTGCCAACCAATCGCTTCAAAGTAAACTGCCAAATGTGACAGTGGCATCTCCTTTATTTATTGTCAAATTTGTTTAATTATTCAACTGTCCAAGAATGGAGTGCTCTACAAATTCACATCTAATAACCAGCCATTAAAACATGACTTATTTATAAAAGATTTTTCTAGCACTTCAATTCTTGTAGATCTTCCTCTAATTCTTGCAGGTCGTCGTCTTCAAAAAGATGTTCGTCGATGGGCACCGCACAGTCGCCACCCGCAGCTTCCGATTCTTCGTTCCCTAAATTAACAAAAACATTTGTTAAAATGTCACGAAATTTATTACAGTGATAAATTTGTATGTGTAAAGTGTCACTCACTGTCCGAGTTTGTCGCTTGTTTCTCTTCCCAGTGTCTCATCAGAGCGACCGTACCGGTACCATCAACTTCTCTAGCATTAGAACTTAATGATTCGATTGTCAAGTCAACATAGTTGACAGCATTCTATGCAACAAAATTATACATTTCATTAAAAATTTATTATTTTTTATAAACTCACAGAGAGAAAAACAAGTTACCTCTCCTTCTTCATTCTCGTCGTCATCATACTCCCTACGGAAATCACAAGTTGTTTCTCCTTCTTCCATCTCATCTTCATCAGCCAATTCGGGCCTAAAGGTAAACATATCTCGTCCACTGAGCTGAAAATGCAAAGGATGAAACAAATGAATTTATTAATAAAATACAAAATCACACATTTTATGAACTGTTAATATTGTAATTATTCTTACTCCAATATGTCTTCCGGCTTTAAACTCTGCCTTTTTCCTTTCTTCTTCTCTTTGTGTTATTTCTTCTTTTTCTTTTAACTGGAAAATTAAATAAATATTTTTTTTTGTATGATACAGATAATTAAGTAATTAAATGTATAAACATTAACTTACTTTTTGGTTTTTCCATGCCAAAAATGTTTGTAATGTTATTTTTGTCAAATTTACCGGAAGTTTTGCTCTCTAAAATTGTAGAAAAGCAACTGAAAATTAAAACACCCAAATGTTTTTCTACAAAAAAGACAATCTTACTTCTGTTTCAACAAGATCTTCAATAGAAATGTCCTCTTTCTTCTCTTCCTTCTTCTTATCTTTCTTCAGGACAAATCCTGGAGGAAGTGCGTGACGATAATGACACTTGATGCCCCCATTGGGGCACTCCCAAAACCATCCATATTTACTATTTTCGAGTGCATCCAAAAAGTATTTGCAGATCTATAAAAGGAATGAATGCCATTAATCTAAAAATGCAAATATGCAGTCTGCAACAAAAGTAATTTTTTTAGTACAGTACACATTATTTTTATAAAGGCAATTCCACACATTTTGTATTTGCCAATTGCTAAATACAGTAGAGAGTCGTTTATCCGAAAGCATTCCTGTCGGCAAATTTAAATTTTCGCTAGTGCTGTGACGCTGCAATCTTTGGCTGTATCTTGGGCTACTCCAATATTTTTTTTTGTTGGTGTGTGTTTTTTAGTTGGCAGCACTGGCACTTTTGTGTGGTGTTTTTCTGAGGACTGTGTTGTGCTAAATAACTTCTAAAGTATAATTTTTATTTGTTTTTATATTTTTCAATGTATTTATTTCATTTGTAAAACATAAAGAAATCATTTTTAATGATACAATAGGCACAATTATTATTTAAAAAAATTTATTTTAGGCTTAACATCGATGAAAATTCAATGCGAAATGACATGCAACGGAGAAAAATTTCAACACGGGATAGGTTAATATATTTTTTCATACATAATTGGTTCAGATAAACAACACTCTACTGTATTTATTTTGTTTGTAAGAAATAAAGAAATAATTTTTAACGATACAATAGCCACGATTATTATTTTAAAAAGTATACGTTAGGCTTAACATTGACGAAATTTCAACACGGGATAGGTTAATATATTTTTTCGTACATAATCGATTATCCGAACAACCTCAGTCCCCAACTGATTTGGATAAACAACGGTCTACTGTAATTGTCTTTAACTGAAGTGTTTGTCACACAACGTGCATGCACACATTTATTTTCCAAGCACCAGTTCATTGTGTGAATTATGAATGTTTGTCCAAGATTTGTTTCCTTTTATTTGACACAATATATATGTTTGTATATTCAAACTAAATATCTGTTGAGCAAATTCAAGAGTAAATCATCCACACTAATCTGTATTGACCAAATGTTTGCTTGACATTTCGGAAATACCAAATGTGTAGCACTGTCTTAAGAGATTTTTTAAAACAACAAAACAAAACAAAAAAAAAAATCAGCTATTTTCATCACAAACATTGCTAATTATAACTTGAAAAAATTGTCAGGATGATAATTGTAAATTGACAATATAAGACTACAGAATAAAAAAGTTTTCTTATGTATGACTGTTATTTTCTAAGGTGTGAGAAAAAGACACAAAACTTTTACTTTTTTCACGAATTTAAATTATCGTCTTGGAAACTTCATCAAATTTATATAATTTTTTATTGGTGCTGTCACTAGATGGAAGTTTTATAACATTTTGCATATTGCGGCAAATGAATAGCCTCTAAATAAAGGTTGACTCTGTCCTAAAATTTCCTGACACGTGAGAAAGAACTTTTTAATGTATACTCTTTTGCATATTTTGTCAATCTATACAACTCCTACATAAAAAATTAGAATATTCACCTAACTGATAGTTTACTGTACATTTTCTCATGAACAACACAGTGTATGAAACTTTTCTTTTATCCTACATAAACAATGTCTATATATGTTTATTAAATCCATTAATCACCCAAATTAATTCAAATGTTTTTTTGTTACAAATGGAAATGAAATGACAAAAAATTGACTAACAGTTTGACCATGACAAAAAAATTAGAATATTAGCAAAAACAACCAAACAAACAGTCATAAAAAACTAAATTGTAATGCAAATTTCCATATTGCTGGGCAGCATAGTATGACAGTACAACGTGGGGCATAAGCGCAACATCAGTGATAGTTCTAAAGATATTATCATAGCCTTGTACAAAGTAGGAAGAACACAAAAAGAAATTGTGAATTATATAAAATGCTCACAGCCAACAGTCTCTAGAGTACTGAAACAACAAAACAGTGTTCAAGTTTAAACTAATAAATGCCAGAAATGTGGACGTAAACGAGCAACAACTGTATGGGATGAGAGAAACTTGAGAAGGAATATCATGTGAAACTGCTTTAAAAGCATTAAAGCACTTGCATGCACAATGGAGAGAAACTGGAGTGAACATTAGTATCTGAACCACATGCCAAAGGTTGCATGACTTGCACTTCAACTACCATGTTCCAAAGATTAAGCCAACTGTAACAAAAAAGCAACAACAAGTGTGTGTCAGATGGTACAGAGAGAGGTTCATATGGGGACAAGACAACTGGAATAACATTCTCTTCAGTGACGAATCCCTGTTTTGTCTCTCCTATGGTGACCAAGACCTATGAGCATGGAAAACAACCAAAGATGCCTTCGAAAAGAACTGCATGAAGAAATCCGTGAAGTTTACATCATATATCACAATCTGGGGATGCGCATATGAGTGCTAATGGCATAGGACAACTGTTTATTCTTCGGAACGTGTCATTGCACAGACATATTAAGACATCTTTGAGACATGATACCATCAGCACGGAATTTAATTGAGAAAACATTTCTATATCAACAAGACAGAGCATCCTCTCATACTGTGAAGTCAACAATACGTTGGTTACAAGAACATTAGATTGCAATCCTGCCTTGACCAAGCAATTCTCCAGACTTAAACCCATTGAAATTTTGTGGGGAGTCATGAAACGATGACTTAATGAATGGTGATCAAATTCTAAAGAGGAACTAGTGACATGCACTCAACACATTTGGAACTGCATCTCCAGAAACAAAGCATTAATTCGCACCATGCTAGACAGATTGAGAGCACTAATTATGGCAAATGGCAAGGCCACAAAATATTAAGTTTATTTTGTTGTATTTCCTATATTTAACCCACATTTAGCTAATATTCTAATTTTTTGTCACGATGAAACTGTTATTCTATTTTTTTTGTCATTTCATTTCCATTTGTAAAAAAAACATTTAAGTTAATTTGTCTAATTAATAGGTATAATAAATATACATAGACATTGCTTAAGTAGGATAAAAAAAAAGTTTTGTACTCTGTGTTGTTCATGAGAAAATGTACACTAAACTTTCAGTTAGGTGAATAATCTAATTTTTTGTCTAGGAGTTGTAATAATATCTTTATAAGAATGTGAAAAACACTTACAATGTCAGTTTTTGGCATTTTCCTCTCAGCTTCTCCGTGCTTCTTTTCTACAACTTCTTTCAATTTTTCTTCATCCCAATTTTCCATGTTATCTAAACATGTATGTGAAAATTTATTACACAATGATAAGTATACTTTTAAAACGACAGAAAGCTATGTTATTCATGCTACAGAAATTAATCTGTTTTCAATACACTACAGTTCTAATTGTCATAAGCTGAATTACATCTCTTTCACTCTACATCATTAATTAAATTTTTCTCAATTGAATTAATTATTATTTATTACACTATTATTTCATATTCTGATCACAAGACAAGAAATTAGGAATAAATAATAACAACATTAAAAGATAAACTGCAATGTAAAATGAACATCAATATCATGTATTACTGTGCAATCCTGACTTTAATGCTTATTGATCACACTAAAAATAAGAGAATTTGTTTTAGATTCACTATAAATCTTTCTAATTTATACATATTTAAAACTGATGAGTTGTATAACTTTGTACATACAGTAGCCCAAAAGTCAGTCAACCGAAGTATACTTTGATTACTTATACTGCATTCGCACACAATCCACAACTCATTTTAATCTCAATTTACCCACAATCTCAATTGTAACTGTCGCTAGTCAAATGTCGAGCTGTTCGCACAAGCAGTCTGCTTGAGAAGAACCCAGCTATTTCACGCAACGATAAAACTGACATAACTACGCAATAAGTCATGAACACCAACAAACAAAATAAAAGTTTTAGTTAGAAATAAATACTTTCTCTTGCCATATATCTAATAATAGCCAGATCTTACAGTCTTTCTAAATATCCTTTTTATTTCTCTGTTGATGGCCTGACACATGTTCTGCAGCCATCTTGTATTTTCTCGCGCGTGTGGGATTGTGGGAACTCTCTTATGACTGGATCTAGTTTCAAGAACTCTCTTGAGTCGATTGCGATTGAACCTCATTTCAGACGAGATTGAAACAGTCAAGAGAGGTTGCACCACGGCACAGTTGCCGACCTTGATCATAATCTAGATTGAAATGCTCAATGCAAATGGGGTATTAGGAACATTTAAACTAGTTTGGAACAGCTACACATTATTTATTATTCATTTGCTTTCAATGAAGCAGCTAAATTGTAAATAATATATAGCATTTCTAAATCAGTTTTAACTAAATAGATATATACTTATAGGGGGGAAGATCTATGGTGTTTACAGGGCTTAAGACCTTGACAATAGAAAAAATTAAAATTTCTTTTTCAAACTTCAAAATATTTTAAAAACATTTATTTAAGCAAATATGGTTTATCAGATAATCAACAATACAATTGTTTGTATACATTAATAAAAAGTACTTCTAATTATTCAAATATTAAAAATTTTTGAGTAAGTCCCTCTTTGGGTTCTTCTTGATCTACTACTGTATATATAAGTTCTCTCGTCATAAAAGGTGGATTTTGTATATAACAAAAAACAATGTTTCCATCAAAAATTTTAATTTAAAAAGTGGAATGATTTCAATGATTTCTCCTGATTCAAAATTTCTTTAAACAATTCTAATGAATCAGTAAAATTAAAGCTAACATTCTAAACTACATAAATATTTAGAACTTTTATGTATATTCTAGAATAGTTTGAGGCATTTATACAAAGAAATTATCATTTTATTCAGAATATAAAAATAATATATATGTTCTATTGCCACTTACCATCAGCCTCTCTTAAATCAACATACACATTTCTCTTCTCGCTTTTTCTCTCAGTACTCAGATCATGAGAAAATTTGCATTTGTCTCCTTTTGTACAATGACCTTGTTTGTAAAAGGCACAGAGCACAGACTTTGGATCGGCACCTAAATTGCATTAGAAGTTTAATAGCATGCCTTTGTTTCAAAGTAAATAAAGTATGAAAGTTGAAAAGTCTGTAAACCTTTCTCAATTTTCTGTACTGTAACTGGACGAAACAATTGATTTAACTGTTCAATTTCTTTCTTTTTCTCATCTTTGTTTTTATCAGTTTTTTGTTGTTCTACCTGAAATTTTAAGAGAAATCTTTCAAATTCAAATTCTTATTTAAAATTTACATTTGATATAATAGAAAGCACAGAATTTCATCATCATAATTTGAAATTAACTCTCTATACAATGAAATGAAATGGTTTGGATTTGTGAGGTAACTTACAGTGTGAGGTTGTGAAGTAACTGTTATAAAAGTGTGGCAAAAAATTAAAACATCTTAGAATATAAAGAAATTTAATTAATATTTTCTGAAATAACATTCAAATATAATTATGCTGTACATAATGTAAATTCATAATCAAAAATAATTTGAGAAATTATTTGATTAATATAGTATTCAAGATAATATTTGAACCCTAAAAACAATGAAAAACACCTTAAAATTCCAGCATTTAAGGCATAAAAGTTTCATCAATACTTCATCCAGTTTCACTGCATTTACCTAAAGGCAGGACAAACCCATAAAAATATCTAATAAAAATATTGCTACTAGATTTGTTTATCTTTTCCATAATTCATAATGCTTCACATATTGGAAGATCAACCTTTACTTATGAACCGTTCCATAAACATTCTTAATATTGTATGCTATTGTATTTTAAAGCAGCTTGTTTTTGTTACAAATTAAATGTTTTTGAGACAAATAAATGTCATTTCAAACAATTATTCATAACAGCAGTTCTTAATCTGAAGTGCACTTGGGCTTTGTATCCAAAGACAAGACATTATTTGTCTCAAAACATGTTTAATCTGAAACAAAAATGAGCTTCTTAAAGCAAATAGCACACAATATTAAGAAGATTAGCCTAATATGCACTGGCATTTTTTTCAATACAGTAGAGCGTTGATTATCCGAAAGTCAATCATCCGAAAGAATTCCAGTCGGCATATTTAAATTTTCGCCAGTGCTGTGGCGCTGCAATCTTTGGCTATGTGTTGGGCTACTGAAATATTTTATGTTTTTGATACTAAATTAACTTCTGAAGTATAATTTTTTATTGTTTTTATATTTTTCAATATATTTATTTTGTTCGTACAAAATAACAAAATAATTTTTAACAATACAATAGTCTTCGTTAGGCTTAGCATCGACGAAAATTCAACGCAAAGCGACACGCAACGGAGAAAAATGTCAAGATGGGATAAATTAATATAGTTTTTTGTACATAATCGGTTATCCGAAACATCGATCTTCCGAACAACTCCAGTCCCCAATTGATTCAGATAATCGACGCTCTACTGTAATAACCTTATTAAATTATGAAATAGCCGATCTAAAAAGAATACTTTATACAAAATACAATCTTCAACTGAAAAAATTCTTACAGAAGAAAAACAATTGTCATTCTTCAATCATCAACTGAAATGGTTCAGAACATTGATGCACTATCCTAACTGCTAGTTATCTCAATTCCTGCTGTACAACCTGTAAATGGCAAGAGATGCAGAAGCAGGCCAAGACACACATTTATTCTAGCATACTGGCAGAGTATCACTGCATATGCAATTATAAATCTGGCAAACAAGATTTTTCAGGAAGGAAAAATTTCTAAACTAATTTCCAATCATATCTAGCTGCTGTCATTTCTCTTATCTTTTGATACCAAATTAATTTTAAAATAAACTGAAGTAATAAAATATTACATAAATAAAGCTACTTGAAAATTTCAGACGATAAACTTTTAAATTTCATCAGAACAAAAGAATAAATGTATATTCATAGTTCACTGCTCTTGTGTTCTGTTTGATATTGAACTGTATATTATTGAATTCTTATTAAAATTACTTCAGTTTATATTTTTAATAACTAAATCAATGCTTTCCAATCTTATTCTAATACAACAGTAAAAATAAATAAGTAATATACGATAAATTTCTATAACAGGCATTGTAACAGGGATATGAGCAGAAATTATTATTGTTAATCTGTTTCCATCAGAGTAAAGGAATATTGCCAAACAATCTGCTATACATTATCAGGCTATGTAAGGCCAATTTAATAATTACATATAATTTAACTAATTTAACTAGAGGTAGGGTTAAAGTATAGGGTTAAATAATTTAACTAATTTAATTATATTACATATAAGGTAATTTAACTAGAGGTAGGGTTAAAGTAACCCTACCTCTAGTTAAATTACCTTATATGTAATATAAGGTAATTTTACTAAGGTAATTATAAGGTAAAATTACTTTATATCTAATTATTAAATTAGCTTCATTATAGCCTAAAATACAGGAGATTGTCATTACTTAAAAATTAAGTTTATGGATTTATTGTTTATGCATGTAAAGAATACTGTCAAAAAAGAAACAATGACACTTATGGAGACTTAATTATAGTTACTTCTCAGTGTGATCTTGATATGGGAAAGTCTTACTGAAAAAGATGTAAAAAGCATAAGTGACTTAAGTGATTTTTGATAGCAAAAAATCCAGCAATGAGTTGCAAAACTTTCCCTGGTGAAAAATATTCATGTTTAAGAAACACAAAGATATATTAACACAAAGTTAAAATTGAGTGTAGTGCCACCAGTTGTAAAATTTTATTAAAAAACAATTTTTATATTATTATTATAAAAAAGCAAAAGGGTTAATTTAAGTTAGAGATGAGTATTTTTTAAAATTGTAAATACCAATGAGTAAAATTTTCATTAAGTCCAACCCCACTTGAGATAAACATAATCATTTGTATCTCCCCATCCCCTTCAATCTTTAATCACCAAAATTTAACAGCTTATATACATGTTTCCATACCAAATTTCTTCTTAATCTTTAGCTCATACTCAGATAAGAAATGAAATGTCCAAAGACATGTAAATGAGAATAGATTGTCTCTCTATACCTACTGATGTAATTACATCATTACACCAGTAGATATAGAGACAATTGTGTGGTGGTGAGATTCAGATGATGTCTTCTAGCACTGCTAGGTAAAGGATAAACTGTAGATTGATTGGGATATTGCTTGATGTTTATAATTAATAGTTATTAAGTTGTGCACTTAGTATCATACCTAATTAGTATCCTTTACTGATATCATCCAATATCCAGCATAAAAATATTGTGTAATTATTACAGAACATTTTTCATGCTACATATTGGGCAGTATCCATAAAGGATATTAATTAGTATGATACTAAGTGTGCAACTTAATTTTCAATTATTTTGTAGATAGAATCTTTTCTCTTGGACAGAAGAGATTACTTTATCATTTAGCTTCAAAAAGATATCGATTAGTCAAGAAGTTCTATTCCACTTACAAACTCTGGAGTTAAATTTAATTTTCTGAGTGCAAATAAAGATTTAAACTTTTGTTTCTATATTATCCATGAATATCTTATTTATAAATAGGACTTATAATACTGGTGTAGTTTCAAAATTAGCAAAAGGAGGAGCAAAATCAGACAAAAGATCTTTTTTCAGGTGAAAAAAAAGATATTTTGTCTGAATTTTTACTAAGTTTTTCTACCTTTTGCTAATTTCGAAATTATACCAGTATAATAAGTCCTATTTATAAATAAGATATATGTGGATAATATATAATTCCATTTAAAGCACTGTAAATAATACAGTATTTAGGAACACGGGCTTTTTCTGTTCTATTAGTCTCATAAACGGGGATATATAAATATCACTTTAGACACTCTCTCTTGGCCACTGAAGTGTGGTAGCCACCAATATGGAGTTTGATTTACATTAACTCTCCTGCAATTTTACAGGAAAATTTCAAAGATGGTCACAAAGCAAGGTTTTATTATATACTGAAGATAACAAAAAATATCAACATCTCATATCCATAAGAATACTATCTGCTTGAACTGTTCTTTTTATAACACTCAAAGATGGATGACAAATGAAAATGCTTGCATTTTCCCTTTTCTCTGTATGCTTCAATTAAACAGTTTGTCGATTTTACATTGCAAAAAAGTAGCTATTCTGTGAACTAATATATACTGTACATTTGATTTCTTCCAAACTGTTTTGAGTGTTTTACATTTACAATGTTCTGTAATATGCATAATGTATAATAGAATTGTTTATTACGTAAAAATAAAACTAATTGAATATTTGATGTTAAACTGTTAAAACTAAACAAATATAAATTACAACAGTGCAAAAATAATTCCTAGCAATCTTTGATATATCAAAGCAGTATTGAAAACACAACTCATTAAGTTTATTATGTAAAATTCTCAATAATCTTGATATTGTTTTATAATTAAAATTCTTTAATAAGGAAGTTTTGATCTTGTATTAATTATTTAGAATGAGAAATATTTTAAACATTTAGCATAATTTTATTAAATATAAAGTATTATTTACAATGATCTGTCTTTGAAATTTTATTTGTACAATTTCATGATAGATTTTGCAATCATTTCACTTTCTTTCATCTTCATAATAGTCTTTTGACATGTCTTAATTCACAAACAGCAAATGACAATGTAAAAAATTCTATGTATACAATAAAACCAACTCAAAAAAGAAAAAAATATTTATTACTGTGTAATTCCGGTTTTTTGTGGATTTTACTGTAATATTGTCAAATGTTCAAAATGATATCTATAATTTTCTATATTTGTATCCCATAGTCCATTTGCTATAACTTCATGCATGCAAGAAATAGTTTGCAAAAACAGTACTCTTTCTTAACAAGTATTTCTGGGACTAAATTTATAATAATTAACATATGTGAGAAACTGGGGGTAGAGAGTTAATTCTAACCCCTTTTTAATGGAGATGGTCTGGTGAAGACTGCTCACTAGGTCAAAAGATGGCTTTAATAGGAGGGCTATAAGTTGAGTGGGAGGGGGTAGGTAAGTCGATAGGGTGTCTGCGGTCCCAATTAATTACAACAAATAAATAACAAAACAAATATAATATACTAGGAAAAGGAGATTGCAACAAGAGGAACATACATAAATGTAAAGCATTAGCTTTCGTTCGGTTGGGAAAAACCAAATGTGACATAGACCAACAGGAACTTAAATTCTGGATCATATCTAAATCTATCTTAAAATCTAAGTCAACCAAGAGAGAAAGAGATAACATATATTCTTTAAAGCTAATACCTCTGGGTGACATGTCCTAGCTCCTCAATTCTTCTATGGCAGCAGTCAGCAACCAGTGGTCAATGGTCCACGAGAATATTTGGAAATTGATCAACTGAAGGTTACGCAAAGTATTATGAAAGAAATGCAAAATGCTTAGTTGCTTTTTTTCACTCATTGGGGGTTTTCATTTAAAACTATTGATAAAACCAAATATGAAGTGACTGTCATCAATAAATAACGAACAATAAACAATATTATGAGCACGATTGTCGTCCTTCGTGGAAAAGCACTAAGAATCCATAAACTTATTTCAAACAAGCAGCAATGAACTTTAGGTTTGCATTCTTCTTCTTTTATGTAGCTTCCCCAAGCCAGAGGTTGCTAACAATCGATCACCACTTCTCCTGATCTCTTGCAGCGTGAATTAGTTGATTCTTATTAATTTGAGTCCACTCCGCTATATCTTGTAGATAGGTCCTCTGCTATCTTCCCTTGGAACGGATTTCTTGGATCCTGCCCTGCAGTATGATGGGAAGCAGTGAGTTGGTGGCCGGATGGCATGGCTGCAGTACCTTGCTTTACATCCCGCTACAATAGGAAGCAGCTGTCACTCTCCCACTCTGGTCTGTTCCAACATGCATGCGTTGGTCACTCGCTCTGTCCAGCTAATCCATAGCATGCAGTGGTAGCACCACATCTTGAATGCTGCTAATCTTTTCTCTGTGCCCTTATTCAGGGTACACGTCTCGCACCTGTACAGCAAGACAGACCACACGTAGCAGCGTAGTACTTTAAGCTTTATCTCCAGGCTTAGTTTCTTATCCGTAAGTGTTCGCTGGAAATTAGAGAAGGTTGATTTCGCCATTTGAATTTGTGTTCATATTTCCTTGTCACATCTACCAGCTCTTGTTATAATGACTCCAAGATATTTGAATTCGGTTACCTCTTCCAGTAAAGTACCGTCTACAAAGATTTGGGAATTGTTTGCCGTGGAGTCTTTACTAATTTTTATCCATAAAGTCTAGCATCTGTTGGAGCTCTGTCATGGATGTGGCAATGCATGCAGAACGGAGCTCCAACAGATGCTAGACTTACTACAAGCAGGCAGTGCAAAATATGGCATGCGTATCAACAGAAAAAAAGATAAAATGGATAAAAATTAATTAAAACTAAGTTAATTCATATTCAAATTGAATTTTTTATCTTCATAATCACTTTTGATGTGGAAGGCAATGGGAAACCACCACATTACCTATTCCTAGTATACAAACATATCTACAATCCCCAGGCTTGCATTAGTTATAACTAAACATGCAAGTTTCATATTAATATAGTAAAATTGAACTTTTATGATCATTATTCTACAGATTTTGTTTCGTATAAAAAAATTCATGATAGTGGTCCGTAGAATTCAAAATTGTGAGTTTAGTGGTCCATGAGGCCAGAAAGGTTGCAGACCGCTGTTCTATGCGACGTCGAAAGTAGGTATTGGTGGTGGAGATATTGGGTATGGCTCCTAGTATGTCTACTTTGATTATGGCTGGATGGGTCCATTTATGTCCTCCATTGATGTCTGCCACAATGATCAGGGCGACCTCTTTTTATATGTTTTAGTGTGGGAGTATTATCATGTGACTCTTGATTTATTAGTTTGGAGTTCAGAGCTGTGTCCAAGTTCAGCTGACAGTACATTGCAAACTGAACAGTTTGGTCGGACTCTTGATACTTTCCCTCAGTGTTAAAATGCTCCTTACCTCATAATTTTATTCAATTGACAGTTTCCCATCATTAATACTTCACTGTTCTGACTAAGTTTATAACCTAAGTCCAAACACCGTAATAATCGTTGACTTGTAGCGACCTTTGATCGCTGTTCTCTATTGTGATATTGTGTTTGGGTGGAAAAACGAAGTGGGATTTTCCCACTTCTTTTCAGTCTTAACTAATTAATTTAATTACCTAATTATGACCCCCCTCAGAATATCACACACATGTTCTAACTTTATTAGGATACTGCTGCTGCTTCTACAATGAGACAGGTAATACGGAAGGATATATTTTGTAGGATATAGTGATGAGGTGGCCATTTTACTTCATTTTATGTACAAAGTTACAGCAAACAGCCTATATATGCATAACTTTTGATATACATTTGAAATAATCAGATAAATTGTAATTGTTTTTAAAATTGAAACATTTAAATGATTCATCAATTTTTTTAATTGTTCATTGCTAATAATATTTAACAAGTGAAAAGTTTTAAAATATTCAAAAATTTGGTTTATTTTTTAAATATATTTAATAATCATTTTATATATATTGAAATACAAGTCAACAAACATTAAGCTTTCATTTTATTAATTCTAACTTACCTTTTTTACACTTTGATTACCAAATTTTACTTGATGTTGTACTTGTTGAATATATTTTTGTTGTTTTGCACCTTTCTTGTTTTTTAATCCAAATGTTTTATCCTGAAAATACAATTTCTTTAATTTGAAAAATATTTCATAAATAAATGATTTAATCATGTGAACAATCTTTTTAAATTTACAAAAACCCAAAATTAATTGTAGGCACCAATAACAAGGACTGAAAGATGAGTTGAAGTCTGCACCAGTCATAAATGTGGATCTCCACCTCTCTTTGAAACATATGTGAATAAAACTAATATGAAAAAATTTCATCACTTAAAACTGAAGTTTTGCCATTACCGTATGTATCATGTTTATGTTTTACATAAAATACAAAATTCTGGGCTTTCCTCTATGTTTTGGATCTAGGTGAAAAAGCTGATTTGCTTATAAATATAAAAAGACAGAATTAAACTGTATTTTTATTAAAATCAAAACTGAACAAACAAAAAAAAAAAAAAAACTAGCGATTCTACAAGTAATGGGACATCTAATTATTTATTCTTTTTTTTTCTGTCTGCATGGATAAAAGTTTTATAATCAAAAAGACTTTACTATGTTGTATTACAAATAATAATTATTATTATTAAAGATGCAGAATTTGTTTTGCCAAAATGCTGTATCATTCCTAGGAGTATTTTGTAAATCTTTTTGAGAACCACAAATTTTAAATTTTAATTAATAAATTGATTTTAATCTAATATTTGATTTTATTTAAATCTAAAACAAAATTATATCTTGTCCCCTTTTCTATTCATAAACATTTTCAAAGAACCTTTTTTTCTCTCAATCATCAGATGAGAAACTTTTCAGAAAAGTGTTCAATTTGAACTTCTTTTAATAAAATGGGACTTCTGATTTTAAACCAAATATCAAAATTGCCAGATTTGTTTGCAATTGTTTAATTGCCAACAAATCTGGCAATTTTGATATTTGGAAAACATTTTAATTAAAATGTCTACTGTTTATTTAATAGATTGTTATTTCAATGTCATAGACTGTATATTACACAAAGTAAAAACTTCATTATACTTTGTAAATTTGATATTTTCATTAATACTGTTTTACATATAATCTTAAAATTATAAATATAAGAATAAAGCAACATTTAAATTTTCAAAATTTTTGATTCATCCAGTCCTGAGATATAATGCAAAATAGAGGACAACATACACACAGAATTCTAAGTTGTTTTTTTTTTATTTTACATTTCTGGGCTCCAGAGTGTCAAAATATTAAGATTTCTGGGGCATCAATGTTTGACCAATCATCATTGTCTCCCTATGTTATAGAGTAGAACCCCCTATAATTACGATTCCTATAAAACTGCGAGAAAATTGCAACAGTATCCGTAAAAAAACTTCTATAATTACGTAAAACGTCATCGGGCAGCCGAACTACTTTCCCGCCATCCATAGTGCTACGCTACGGACATTTAGGCGGGTAAATTGAGTTTAGTTTTGTCTGTACATATAATTATATATAAATTAGGTACTGTATATATAATTATATATACATTTTCCGCCGCGTAGCGCCACGCTACGGAGATTTTACGCTATCGTCTGTACAGTATGTAAATTAGGTACCGTAAGTCTAATACAGCACTGTAATTTTATACATTTCTTGTGAAAGAAACATTTCTTATTCAACGGTGATTAAAATTATTCATATTAATGATGTCTCCAAAGTTCAACGAAGTTTTCGCAGAAAAATAAGTTATCAGAAATTGGCCGCAGATTGGTATGCTGCTTTGCGACGAAAACAAGCTTGAGCGATGGCGATGTCGAATGGTGCACACTCGGTAAGTAATCCTACAATTTTTTGTTTATAGCGTAGTTTATACGGATTATTCCCAAAAAAA